CACCTACGACATATGTCACGAGTTCAACTTCGCAGCCACCAATATAGTCACGCACGCCGGAAACAAAACAGGCCGAGGATGGATGGAGGCCTTGGCCTCGGGTGAGAATTCGGTCAATCGATTCATCGATGTGGCACCGGCCCTACGTAGCCACCTCCAGTCTTGTGCCGTCAGTCGATTATTGGCCTACATGCCCTATAACTGTCGCTTGTTCTGTTGCTGCTACTACCTCTGACGATGGACTCTTGCACGAGTCTGAAAGCTCAGGGCAATAAACGAAGTGCTCCGTTGCTCGACCCTTCTTCTTCGTCATCTTCTTCTTTTTCTTCACACTTTTATATACGCTTTCCTGCAAAAAGATGCACCTCTACTCCCATTTTCAGCGAATGAATAATTTTATTTAGGTACTTCTAGTGTTTTTGTAGATAACAGGGGATTTGCTGGTAATTTATTTCAGTTTATAACGTTTTTTTGGTATGGAATTAGGTATATTCTTCTTCACTACAGAGGCCTTCTCTTCATTAAAACATGTGGAGGTATATTTGTATACAGCATTATAGGTTGATAACTGCGACAATTAAGGTTATTAAAGAGGATGAACTCAGGTTTGGGCTCTTTAAAGTGTGTCGATGTGTGCCTCGTTTGGTTTATATTTAGTTGTCTGGGTTGTGGGCCCTTCATAGCTCTGTCGTTTAATTCTCGTGCGCATACTGAAAATTTGCAAGCTCTTACAAAGTTTATGCAGCCACCAAGGACGTATGCTGTCCAGTACCGCTAGTAAATAAGCTGCCGACGGCGTTGTATCCTCAAATAAAATTATTGAATATTTTCATCCGCATCCGAAGTGCAACTGTGAGTTCGATTCTCCCTGCTTCGGAGGGTTTGTAGGTCGAGTCCAGTTTATTCCTCATCTGCTCCACTCGCATCTTCTTACTTTGCAATCGGTTGCTGTCTTCATACTTTCCTCTGGGGAATAATTAGGCCATATATTATCGATGATATAGTCTGGTGGGAAATTGGAAAATAGGATCAGTATGTTTTAAAGAGGTGGTTTGCATTCGGAACAGCCGGGGTAATCCGGGAAAGGCTGGTTTAAGATATTTGTTCAAATGTAGTCTTCATGTGTAGCGGGGATCCTCTGCCGAACCATTTTGACTGCCCACCCCCCCCCTCCCCCAGAGGATCTTTTATTAATGACAGAAAAACGTAAATCCATTGTCAGTTTATTCGCCGCTACGAATGTCATGAAAGTGATATAGTTCGATAAATTTCAATAAGAGTCAAAAAATGGGTCACGTTTTCTGCCTACAGACTAGGTACGCTCATGAATAACACTTAAAACGCTGGCTAGGATAACAAATAATGTGCAGAAAGCAATTTTAGGGTGTTAAGTTGATTTTTCAGGTGTTTTAGTATAATTCAGCATATATGAGGGATAGAGGCAGGGCCTTGGAAAACCCTATTTACATATAGACGTATGAAAAAAACATGCAGATATTAGATAACAGTTATGCCAGTCATTGACATCATGTAAATGTCTGACCATCAAGCATAAATTTATCTAGTATTCTTTTGAAAGTCTTGACGTTTACCGTTAAGACAACGGAGTACGGCAATTTGTTCCATTCCTTAACCAGCCGGTGGGAAAGAATTTGGCCCGCACTTCGAGTTTGGCATACTTCTTCTTCAGTTTGTATTGGTGTCCTCGAAGATTTGTCGTCCGCGCCATTTCGAAGAAATCATCAAACTGAAGAGCACAGTCAAGCCCTCGGATGATCCTGAAGGCCATGATCATATCCCCTCTGCATTGTCTATAAGAGGGAGGAAATATTTTTAGCTTCCCCAGCCGTCTCTCATAAGGTAAGCTACTTAATCCGCCGACTAGGTTAGTCGCTCTTCGTTTAATTGGAGGACGGAAATCAAAGGAGAGCTTGATTCTGTGCACGATCGGGCTTTGTCTGAGGAGTGTACACCGCATACAGAAAAGTAGATTAACTAGACGCCTATTGTTGTCGAGCTGTTCTTCTGACGGCAAGGTTTGGGGCTTAAGTAATAGGTTTGATTCGCCTTATTGCCTACTTGGCAGCTTGAATAACATCCGCCCAATGCCCATTGTATATTAGGGGCTAAATATTGTTTTTTTGATATATTGTCGTTACATTCTTTTGACACTTACTTCGAGTGCCACTTCTCTTTGGCCTTTGCATATACCTCTTTTTGGTTGAGGTGCCATACGTAAGGCTTGAGATATAAATGTCCCTTCTGCTAAAGTTCATGGTCGAAATCTGCCCTACCATTAATTGCAGATTCGGAAGCTTCTGCTTTTGAAACATTTGTAAAGCTCACAGTCAACTTTTACCTAATTTGTAACGTCTTATTGTGCCTGTATTTCTATTTTATTAGATAATTTGCAGCACTTCCCTACGTATCTGATATATCGTTCGACTTCCTGGATTTGACTTCTAACGGAGATTTGGATTCATTAAACTGTGTGGGCTTTGAAAAGATACAGTAAAATATATTACAATAGTAATGTTGGATTTTAGGAAAATGTTTTCTAGATTTCTAGGAAAATTCGCGTCGGAAACAGGACTAAATCCGCAAAAGTAATGTAAACAGTTGGAGGATTTTAGTACCCAGGCGTCTGGCTTAAAAATGACCAATTGTGCTTACGTGCATATATAATTAATTGTGGTATTAATTCTCTCTCGATTCTGATGCAAACATCATTCCCTGCGTTTTATTCGTGCTAAACAACAACCTTAGCGTCAGCAACATTTTAAAATTTGGCGGCTTTTAAAAAATAATCTTATCGAGGTCATTAGGTGACTGAATTTAGATTTCTTTCCCACGGATGAAAGCAGCACGGAGGGAAAAACCGTATTTTTGATGCTTACGGACACGGGAAAACTACGTACATCTTGAAGTAAGCGTTATCCTTAAAAATATATTTTGGTAAGCAAAACAAATATGAAACACACATATTTACAAACATATGTGCATGCTTACCCAGTCGAATGCACCAAAGAATGTCGAATATATGCGCTTTCCTCTATGCTTAGTATTTCGGGTCGAGTAGCTTAGTAAGAAATCCATTTTCTGTTTCGTCGAGGATTCAAATATGGCTTGGGTTTTCTTTCCTGAAAAACCCGTATCTCAAAACATAGCCTTTAGCCGAAGATTCATTTAGGAGATTAACGATAATAGACTGTTCCTCGCGATGAGAGTCTATTGGGGAAAACCCTTGACAATGTCTAGAACCCATAATTGATAGAAAAAAGGATAATCTTGGCTATCTAACGGTAATTGGGAAAAATATAAAATGTATGTGCAGATTGTTTACCTGGAGAGTGAACATGAAAATTTTTGTCGAAATATATGTCTAAAAAGTAGTACAGGGAATGTGAACGAATGCCACCTGGTACTTGTCGATCAAACTATACCCCTGGGGATGACCAGCTATAGATGGGTCAATAGGCCTCCACGTTCCCATAAAAGTCGCTATTCATACTTTTAAACACATATTAGTCGGTCAGTCCTGTTTGGCCATTACAGCACTGCATTTTTTGTGTACATGGTGTTTCACGTTTACCAGTGAGTGTCTAATTTTTTTAGTAGGGAAGTTCTGCCGCCCAGAACTAAATGATCCTGCTGTTTTCATGGGCCATCATGCCTGTTTATTCGAATGTGTCGTGGATTTTTTCCTCGCCGCTTTTGACTCGCACACTAGGACGTCTTCAGTTGTCATATTCTGACCCTCGACTTTGGTTTAAAGTTTTTGAAATGGCAATATCTCTTGCCTTTGGAGACTGGCTCTCATGTTAGAGGGTGCCAAAAGTTTTCATATGGTCGCGTGTTTTTGCTCAAACCGTAATACTACTCGGCACATTTTATGTAATAATACCTGCTGACTTTTTTGGTCCTTTGGCGACATTTCAATCACCACCTTCTTCGTGGCAACAACAAAAGAGAAAGACAATAAAATTGCTTAGTGGATTTGTTGTTGGTCTCTTGACCGCTTGGCCAATTCTATTTTGCCTTTTTATTTCCGCTTCGTAATTTTCTCAGTATTCTGTCCTATGGAGCAAACAAGGATGCCAAACATACTTCCCCTATCACCGACCACACCATCCGAGAACTATGAACATTCTTTGGACTTCAACCTGGATCCTGAGCAAAATTTTGATCAGTTGCCGATGCCTTTCCATCTTATTGATATCGTAATACAAGACCTTTTTTGTCGAGCATGGGATGCTATCTGTTTGCATAGCAGTAAAAGAAAATGCCCGTCAACTTGTCCTTTATTTAAAATTATGCAACTTGAGGTATGTTAGAGACAGCAAATTTTAGTTTTCCCAGCAGATAAAAGAAGACGTTACTATCAACTGTATTTCAAAAGTCCAGCAATGCTTTTTCACGTCTAGCGGTTCAACTCTGAGCGTCTTCGGCACATTCGGCGAAAAACATTTTAGTACTTCTTGTTCAGCAGGAGTAATAGCCAACATTGAGTGTAGTGACCCACCTTCGACTCGAATTGTTTCTCTTTTGGTGACATTTTCAAGTGGTAAGTTTCTCTCACTTTTCAACCTTCCCTACTAGGACAATCTGATTTGATGGTCTGGACTGGAAGTCAAGTCGTTAGCGTTCAAAAATTGCCGATGGAAAACTCGAAGCAATTTTTACTTTCAGCTTCATTTTCAGCCTGTGGAAACTACCTTTTCGCTATTTATGATGGTAAATAACTGCCGTGTTTTATATAAGTGTGCGTCATGTGTTTTAAATAGTCGAAAACGGGCGGACCTACCATAGATGTTCTTGAAATATGGACTGTGATAAAAACAGACATTCTAGTCAACCTTACTACAAAATATTCTCAACCAGAGCTAACTTCTGTTTTCTGTGGTGGAGCGCTGCTCAGTGATCGACCGGCTCATGTTTATACTTCGGGCGGATAACTTTGAATTACTTTAAAGTTATTCTAATACTGATTATTAGTCGGCATTACCAAGGTAAAGCATAATGCCCCACTGCGCACTTCAAGCTCGTTATAAGCCAGATGGAAGTTTGAGTTCGCTTACATTCCAGAGGCAGTTAGATGTGAACCTTATCGAAGTAAACGAGATAGTCGATGGGACAGACGGTATGGAGTATGACAACCTTTTTCAGCAGGTTCACATGCTAAATGATCGAAGACACTCTCAGCAACTGCTCAAGTCGAAGTGAAGCACACGGACTTAATACACAGTCCTCTTCTTCAATTCCTATTTGGCTTATGCTTTGCTAGTTCACACCGACTTAGCACATACCACACGTCTGTTTGAAAAGGAAACGATGACTGCTTGGCTTGTGCACCCGACTTTCATTTTTATCTAGTTTTGGACTTTCCATTGTGTTCCCTTTCCATTTTACGCTTTCATGCCTGTGCGCTTTTTAGCCGTTTGTCAAGGTGACACAAAGAGTCCCAGATCGTGGTCAGAATGACCACATAGGGGATACGAAATGGCATAAAGGCATCCTCCTGTTATCCAGAAACATGCCACCGACAGTAGACAAACCTTCAGAATTCACAGCGTTCGACATGTCCTTGTCCCATGAAAAGGAACTTATACCTCCGGCAATAGGTCATGCCTCGGCAGCTTTAGCGGGTGTCTCGTGAAGCCTGACATATATAAATGGAGGACAGGACTCCATTCGACAGATGGCGCATCAGAGCTAACCAAACGATGGGCAGTAATAACGTAACGTGATAAAGTATGAACGCGAATCTACCAAGTAGAGCATGTGGATGGATAATGTGAGAAGCTGTCCATTGATAACAGTAACGTGAATGGACTCGGGCCAGGATGGAGGAATATCGGGTTGACCAGTCAGCAGGAGTTCCCGGCAAGCAGGTGGAGGATGTAATATCTGAGAGCTCGTATCTGAGAGATACTCCACTACCGGTGTCGACTAGTGGCTGCTACAAAGGTTCCATACCTACGTGTATCATCAGAAAAGGGAAATGGCGGAATCTTCTAAATCGAGACGAGTGGGTAAGTGTGTGCGAAGGCACACAATACAGCCGAGTCATCGAATAAACTCAGACTGCCAGTTTGCCCTGCAGTGGCTGTTTGACAACTCCCATACCTTCAAGGCCGAAACCCCAGGTGCTCCCACACCGTCAGAAATCTCCACGAAGAACAGACTCTCTCTAACAGACCTAAACTGCAAGGCGTACCTGGAGTGGTCGTCGTGGGTGGAGGGTGGCGTGGAAGCCCGGAACGCAACACTCAGTTCGTTTCGATCAACATTAGCATGCTGCGCTATGACATTATGTCGCAGGATATTCTCGACCAGCATGTTCGTTCGATTCGGCCGAGGAGCATGCTATTGACGATAGGTCAACCTTCGACATCCACATTTGCGAACGTTCTATGCCCAAGTGTCAGTTCGAGAGCCCAACCAGTCAGATCCTGCCGACGAAGCAAAGTCGTGGGCATAAAATACCGTGAGAGCGTGAAAAGCTGCCGCGCATGCGTTTACTGTGCATCAAAGCCAATGTAAAACACCAGACGGCATGATATTGCCGTTGGACGCTGTGCAAATACCTCTCATTGAACAATGTTTGGTTTTCTGATGAGTGTTTCGGTGTTTAACTAGGGCTTCATACACGTACACCTTAACCCATAAAGGCGAGCGACACTCAAGATCCTGCTGATTTCTGGTTGAACCTGAGATCTTGGCTTAACAACTAAGAACTTTTACTTGAACTTACGTTAAAAAAAACAAGCTAAGAATGCTGTTTCAAGGGGTTACAGAAAAACTTTAAAAAGGTTACCTAAAAATCATTCATTTTTTTGGGGCTTCTCATTTACTGTTGAGGATTTATGGGGTGGAACACGGATACAGAATCACGCTTGCTATGCCTAAACATTTCAGCACCTGGAACGACGAATTTTAGACAATTCTCATCAGAAATAATTCAGTTCGATACATTAAAACAAATTACGAGCACTCGGAATTTTTTTAGTTCGCAGGACGCGTACGAGTTGGCGGGTACATATACGTGCGCATGACAGGTCGATCGTCGATTCTGGCGACGTCCATTGTGTGCGCCACTGCAGGGTGGGCTCAGGGACGGGATAACTTACGTGCGAGTTAGTTGGCTTGCACAGAGTCTACTGCACTCTCGGCCTGGTGTCAAGACGGAGTCAGGAAGAGCGGAAGCGAGACGGGACGCTAAGGCTGACCGAGATAAAAAGCTCTTCCAAGCGTAGCACGCAACACACGCCTGGTTTGCGCACAATGGACTGGGTTATCACACAAGAAAGGGAGGCGGATCGGATCCCAAAGTGTGTGTGTGTGTGTGAGAGTGCCATAAAGGCCACATTGAAAAGGAGCCAGTTCAGCTTACCTCTCTGAGCTGGGAGGAGGGCCGAGGTATGCCGTCAGTTGGCGGCCTTCCAGCGCACTGTGATTGGTTAGAAGCGCGTAAGATCATTTAGAGTGAATAATCTGCGCGTAGAGTCGACCTCATTTTCTCTTCTCCCCCTCTCTCCTAGGCACCAGTCTATTGTCCGAATCGATCAGTTGGCTGATGCCGAGACAGCGCATAATGACTGACAGAGCTAATTTGCCTGTATACACATTGTTACACACGACCAGTTTCCGCCCAACACATCGGGTTTTCACCCAGAAGGGTGGACTATTCGGATCCCGCATGCATTCGAGTTCCATACAGGTTACATTAAGGAGCCAAAAGACACGCTGCCGATTCCGTGCTTGAGGTGAGTGATGTGGGGCCGGTGTATGCGCCAGTGAGGATAGTTGTGGTGACGTGACTTGACCCTTAAGTTTTTACCTCAGATGTTCATGGATGCGCATGTGGCCGACCAGGCTCATGCGGGGACTGAATATGCGTCGGCGGTGCGGGCAGTTGAGGCGAGGGTGATGGGCGTATGTCGGCGCCTCAGGCACTGATTAGCCAGTCTTTGTGCCCGTCTACGCATGTGACACACGCTCACATACACATGCAGGATTAAACGATTATCGGATCACCCCTCGAAACAGCACGATCAGTAACAACCCCGTCCGTTAAACTGTCAACCACTCTTGCGTTTAGAACACGGCCCATCGTAAGCGTTGTTTATAACCAGGAGGTGTCGAAACCACATTCTCTCCGAAACAGCGCTTAAGGACATTGCTGGCGGCTGATCTCGCCAACCAGCATGATTCAATCCCAGGTCAGCTTATTTCTAGTTTTGTTAACTCGTATAACCATTTCCCCACCCCCTCGGCGTATGCTGCCTGATGACTAAAAAACCATTTTTCAAGGCTTTTCATAAAAACCGGCCATAACCTGTTTGATTGTGTCGTGTTCAAAGGAAATCCTTCTGACTGACCTTGTCTTTTCCTCTAGATGTTGTGGCACACGAAGTGTTTGTAAAAATATACTCACTTCCTATCGCTACATGGGAAACGCAACTTGGGGCATTTGAGACCGACGCTGATACATCCGCGCAGGTACGTCTCTGCCGTTTGTTTTAAATTCAGAGTTTTACCCACCACATCCGCGAGGCGCTTACATTGCTTTGAAAAAATGCCTATCATTATTGCTGATAGAAGCAAAGAGACGAGCTTAAGAAAGCAGCCCAGAAGAAGGTGGGATCCCTGAAGCAAGAAGTTTATTGGCCCGAAGTTTTGAGTCCCCATTCGAACCAATCATCAGAAAGGGTAGCAAATGAGGACGATGGATGCCGAAGGACCAACTGTCCGGAAAGCAATTTCTGGAGTTAGTTATCGGATTTGCGGCAGCTGCGGACAAGCCAACTACCTCGGAGAAGCGGAGAGCTCCCCTTGGACGCGGGCAACCAAACACGCAGCAGGAGTGAGGTGGACGGACGCTAGCTAGCTGGTTACGGCTCATCTGAGGTAGTGCGACCACACCTCCAAGCTTGATGAGGCCCAAAATCTTTCCTTGAGTGACAACCGCATGAGTCGTGGGCCCCCTGAGACATGGCTCGCCGACTCTCGGTCGATTAACATGCGCAATGACCTCCCACATCCATATTATGTGCTGAGACTTTGTCTGAACAAAGCAAGTAGTCATGTGAGAAGGACACGGTCGACCAGCATTTCGAGTGGTAACGAGCCAATTTGCCAAATGTTTATCACTTCAAGGATCAACAACGGGAATGAAATTACGATAATTTATGACTTTCCACAATGAAGCCTGGAGTTGTTGAGTATAGGAGGCATGTGGCTGCATGGCCCCTTGCTCGTATAAATACGGCACTCCCTATGCCTCCAGCAACCGCATCTACGACTGTTTCTGAAGATGGGCTCGGGTGGGAATTCGAGACCTCAGGTCAACAAACTTCTTGTCCCGGCAACTACATCTTCTTGAGAAAAAGACAACCGCAACTGCTGATGATTTTTAGGGCTTAATGTCTTCTGCATCGAACTTTTGCTCATCACAATATTGATAAGAACGGTTATTTACTGACTCACTTTATGGTGGTTCTGTAGTTCTCTGGCAAACGAATTTGAGGCGACTACACACAGTATGTCTCGCCGTACTTAGATTAAACAACCTTGACGCTAAAACTTTTTGCTGACAAGGAGTGAATTCCCGTATATTTAGGTCTACAGGTGATACATTGCTGTGCTTTTTCGGTTGGATATTTATTCTTTATTTTCCCAGTCGAGCGAATTTTATCATTAAGAAGGAGAAAATAATTTGCTGATTTATGATCACGCCTTTAACAGCGTAAGAATGTGCTCCTCCTCAAAGGCCTTTACTGACATTTCTAATGTGTAGCAGGAATCGTTGACTACATGGTTTCCAACCAAGCATTCAGTCACAGAATCGCCTGATGGCCTGAATTCTTTTGAATGTGCCTCGCGTCACTCAGGCTTTTGATCTTGATAAGTCATGAATCAGCCAGCCTGCACGTGGACAGGGTTCGGGGACTTGCAGGGCCCCTGGGAATTGATTATAGTAAAGTTGAGTCAAGTCTGAATAAAAATTGACTTCTAACAAAATATGAGTCCATTGAATTCTAAAGTGTTGGCCTGTCGTAGTGCGTTAGCTGATAAACTTTTAAAACCACTTTCTAACCTCCGCTATGCTGCTATACCGAAGGACTAAGGATGATCAAGAGTAGATAGTTTTCGTTAAATCATTGTCCTTGGTGAGTGCAGTCCTGGCTATTATGCCTTGTCATAACTAAACGTGTGCATTTTCTACGAGGTCCTTTTGTCCGCTAACTATTTCCCCTCAAACTCGAAGGTACTCATTGCTAAATGGAAATTCTATCGAATTTAAAGTCGCCTTTTTCAAAAAACTCCTCAGCTTTTCGTTTTAAATAATTTATGAGAAACCGCGGTCTTACTGAGCATTATGACACCTGCAGTATATTTCTATTGTTCTTGATCTTTTATTTAAAATAATATTTTTTATCCTGCCCGCTAGATTGTAAACAAATTACATTTAATTTCGCCTAGCCATGGAAAAGGGAGTTGCCCACTTACCTGGACCTATGGAGGTTAAGAAAGAGAATGAAACACATCTTGTCGAAAGTCTGAAAAGACATGCATCAGTTGAGGAAGTAATGGGAAGATAACTGATCGGACACTGGGATGATTTGTTTATTTGTCCGAGCTTTCGAATTAGTGCAGGAGTCTATTGTCGGCGGTAAACAACAGGACATGCGACAACTGTAGGGGGTGTTTGCCTATCAGCGATCAATGACACAGGCGTACAGGTGTTTGCGTAGGGCTCTGTATGCCGGCGTCAAGTCGGTACACCGGTTGATTAGGTTCTCATCCGAGGCTCAGGCTTTAATCAATTCTCGAATTATCTTGCTTCCGACGCGGGCTATTATCTTGGTGGAAGCGAGGTCAAACTCGTGATCCGTTTCGAGGGTGTGAGCAGCCACTAGTGATAATTAGTCATTACATCGCACAGCGAGCCTGTGCTCGCTTATGCTCGATCAGAGCATGCGCTCAGTCTAACTTGTGTAATTACAAGGGCAGTTTCGGCACGGGATACGGTGCAATAAGTCTGACTGTCTTCTTAAATTTGCTCGTTATTTGATTTCCATGACCTCGTTGCGCATGGCAACTTTGGGACGATAGGCAGTTCCAGTACCTCACCCTGCAGCAATGCTCTTGCTCGCAGCCACCAAGGTAATCGCTCAAGCCGGAAACATGACAAACCGAGAACTACTTATAGCCTGGACCTCGGGTAAGAGCCCAGTCAACCGATGTAGGCAACTGGTACCGGCATACAGAGCCTTGCGCATCCACCCGCACGCCCGTGGCACCAATTTTTTGGTTCTTAGGCACTCCCCGTAAGTGTTGCATGTTCTCTTGCAGTTCTTTTCTTCTCTACTCGAAAAGATATCTGGTTTTCGAAAATTCGTCTCCAGGCATCACTTGTTTCCAGCATTTAGAAGTGCTATGATCAGCGTGCGACCAGTTCAATGCACTTCTAAGAAGTAAAAGTTGGTGCAAACACGACCGGATTTGCAGGTGTTTCAGTTCAGTACTCTGCCCCTAAACCACTGGCTCAGAACGAAAGAGACTATCTCGCAGGGAAAAAGACATCATTTGCCTGGTGTTTCCGATATACATTCGGTCAGAGTGTTGTGCCCAAGGCTTTAAATACGATGATTCATTTCTGACAAATAAAACAAAGCGTTGCACACTTCAGGGTTTGGTATGGCTGGCTGACGACGGCTAATAAGCCAGAAACGGTCATTCCAGTCTCCCTTGTTTTTGTCGGTAATAACATTCTGTCTACATCATGCGCTTCTCAAGAGAAGACTAGTAAGGCACAACGGGCCGAGTGAACTCCGTAAAAACGATCGGTGAGCGTCCCTCTATCAAACCCAGTTTGGCTATTCCGATTTCAGATGTTTTGTCATAAACATCTGCCACGCAGCTTGAATCTACTCTGTAACTGATCGTGACTGCTCTAGCTTAGAGCTTTTCTGCAAACTGGGACAAGCCTATCCTACTCTGCAATCAGATAAGCTCGATCAGCACCATTTTCACCTAATCGTCGATTTCTGGACATTTAGTTTATCCCATCGAATAAGCAGATCATTAGAGAGCTACTATAATCTGGTAAGGTGATATTTGCCGGAGAATGTTTTCCGCCTGAATAAAAAGGCAACTCTAAACCCGAAAAATCAAAATTTTTCGGGATCCCGGAAGTTTGAGAGGTTATACTTTCTTGGCTGACCTACCGTCGTCTAACCTTTTTAAACACTCCATTTTTTTATTTAGGGCGAACCGCTAAACAACCCTCAACTGGCGAACGTGACCTCCAGGCTGCAATTGAAATGGCCGTCAGGAGTAGCGGGTACCTGTTCCGTCTAGTTCTGTTTAGTATCTGCTCCAAGTGGCTGTTTTTCAAACATTTACATGGTTCACTGAGGGAATATACAGATTCCAGATGATCGATTACATAAATAAGTTCTCGTTGAAGTAAAAAATCGCTGCAACACAGAACTTTGTCTAAAAATTAAATATGCTTCTAGGAACATTTGATGTTTGTGAATACCAAACATCGAATTGGCGGCCAAATAATGCAATGAAATACTGGGTGTCAGTGTTTTATTTAACGCCAACACCGTTACTAATTTTTATGCCGTTTTTATTATTCCTCGAGTACCTGCAGTAAAACCTGAATGCCTTTTCTTTATAAAAGAACAAAATGTTAGTTTTTAGGAATACTTACAGAGTTTTTTCAAAGTAGCTAGTTTGTGCGTGAAGCGGGGACCTTAATATTTATGGCTTTTAATTTTTGACCATCTAACTACGTTCACAAAGGACTGAAAACGCCCCCAGGTGCATTCAAACAAGGTCTAGGCATCCATATATCCGTAGATAATTATTTAGATTTTTTCAGAGCTTTAAAGCCATGTACAACTTCTGTTCTGATGTCCGCAATAGTGCATGCATGTGTAAACCTTCGAACTCGAGAAGAGTTTGCAAACTTAAAAGGCTGAGGCAATGAATTACTATATATTCTGACGGCAATATCGCCACATGATGAAGGTCGGGCGACAAAAAGATAATATTTTATCTGGTGTTACCTTTACTTGGTTATTACTTTCGGTGCTCGACCAACTCCAAGTATTGTTTAATTAAACAGAACGTTATGCGGAATCAAACAGACAGGGGCTTTTTGCCACAAACGATTTCTTAACATTGTCCGGGTTTCGGCCGACTGAGAGAATTTTTGCCGGTCCTGAAAAAGCTTCTTGGACTTCGGTCTTACTGCTGACAGTGCGATGTGCAGGAGCAAAAAGGCTTATACACAATAAACCGACGACGTCTACCATGTGCTCCACAGCGAGATGATAACAGGCACGGTGACTTGTGCGTGAATTAGTTTATAGTGATAGTAGACTTGCGCCGCATCTACCGCACTCTTTCCTCCCCCCCACCTGGTCCCGGCGTCAAGACATAGTCAAGAAGACCGAAGACGGGAGGGGATGCAGGTGGATGGCATGACCGGACCCGCGCCTAGGAGTGCCAACACACCGCCTGGTGCACAACAAGCACTTGACCGACATTTTGACCAACGACAAAATAGGCGGGTCAGAAAGGGCAGGATGAAGGGGCAACCATGCACGCGGCTCGTATACTCAGCGGGAGCGCAAGCACATCTACCGGTAGGGAGCCAGAGAACTGCCAGCATTCACCAGGCTGCGAGGGTCACGGTTTGTTGATTATGGCCTGGCAGACGTTTACATTTCTTGAGACCTAGAAGGGTGACAAACAGCCCTGCACTTAGCCTGTGCCATAACCCCTCAAAGACCGGGTAACTAGTCAGTCATCGACTGAGAGACACTACCCCCATGACAGTTCGACCGTCGATTTCGACGATATCCACCGTGCGCTACACAGCAAGGTACAGCAGGCACGGTGACTTGCGCGTGAATTAGTTTATAGTGATAGTAGACTTGGGCAGTATCTACCACTTGGACTCGCTTTCAAGACAGAGCCAAGAAGACCGGAGACGGCGAAGGGCGCAGGTGGATGGCACGGTCGAGCCCGCAGTTTGATGCCCCACTCCACACCCTCCGGTCCACACTACAGTTGGCCAGGATTTTAACCAACAACAACAACAGCACAACAACGGGTCAGAAGGATGACGAGGATGACTGGGCAGTGATGCTCACGACTTGTATACCCAGCGGAAGCGAAAACGCATCTACCGACAGCAGAACCAGGTGCCAGAAAACTGCCAGCGCACACCAGGCTGTGAGAGTGATGGTTTACTGGATCATGGCATAATACGCACTCGCAATCCTTCAGGCCCATACATGCACCGGTAGCGTGTTCGCGTCACTAAAGGATCGCAGACCCCACATCTAATACAGATCTGAAAATATTACACATAAGAGCAATAGAAGACATGCAGTAGGAAGAAGACACGGAATTTTGCAATGGATGCGGACTATGTTGCATGCTCTACGGGGAACATTAACAAACGGACCGGTACGATGCTGTATGACAGTTCGAACGTCGCATTTGGCGATATGCACCGTGTGATCTACAGCAAGGTGAAGCAGGGACGGCGATCTACGCGTGAACTAGCTTATACTGATAGCAGATTTGCACAGCATCTCTCCTCCTCCTCCTCCTCCTCCTCCTCCTCCACATGTGCCCGGTGGCAAGACACAGTCAAGAAGACCGAAGGTGGGGGAGGACGCAGGTGAGTGACATGTTCGAGCCCACAACCTGGCACTCCACTCCACATCCCCTGGTCCACACAACAGATGACCAGGATTTCGATCAACAACAACAATGGGGGGGGGCGGCGGCAGGGGTCCCAATGTGCGCGACGTCTGCTAGCAACCGGGTCTGCCAACGCACCCCCGAAATGTTGGCGTTTGTTGTGGGGCGCAATCCCATGACGCCTGAGAGAATCCAATATCGCTCCCGTGTTGGTCCAGCGCATACAGCACGTGGCCTGCTTGGGGGCGGGGGACACGTAGGAGAGATGTCAGCAACATCCGACATTCCCAGCCGGTCACCCGTGCAGGTACTAACCGGGCCCAACGCAGCTTATCTTTGGTGGTCGGAAGAGAATCGATACTTTCTACGTGGTATGGCAGCCATATACACTATCCATACACGCACACACACTTCTCACATGCGGGAAAGTGCCAGAGGTCGCTTTAAGCATCGTGACAGCCTGGCTATTAGTCCACCAGTCCGCCACTCCACACAAACACACATAACTGGGCAGACTGCGTGGACCGAGTTGAGGCGTCAGTCGGCAGTCTCCCAAGCCACGGCGTTTGGCGCAACGTAATAGTTTCAGACTCTGATCACACATACAACAGCAGAGCCGCATGGAGAAGGAGTCGAGAAGCACACTTTCGACTTGCGTGGGAGCTGACTATTGAATGCTTGCAATGGACGATTTTGTTGCGTGGTGAGGGTGCTGGTGGGGGAAAGTGTGATGGTGGTTGTCTACCGTAGGTGTTCACAAATGCGCATGTGACCTAATAGGCACATGCGGGGGCAGTGGGGCAGTTGAGACAGATGCGGCAAATGTAGGTTGGTGCTCCAGACAGCGGTTCGCCAGTCTGTGTGCGAGGGGGTCGCAAGTGACCGATCAAGCCGATGGGTGAGCTGAATATACGGGGGTAGTGTGGGCGGGATAGGTCGAAAGTGTCCAGGTCGGTTTCGTTAGTGATAGTGATGTTGGGGCTGCTGGTGGTGGATGCGCTGTGCGCTGGGGTGGGGGCTGAGTTAGGCATGATGCCCTTGAAAATTCAATTATATTTCATGGAAAACATGCATAAAAATATTCATTCTTTTACTTATTCGGTAGAAAATCACGTCTTCTTCCAATTTCATACTCAAAAGAAGAGTATAATTCGGTTTTGAAAAAGTTTCTAATTGTGAGTTTTTTTAATACCGTTAAATGGTTGTTCATGAAACGTCATGTATCTGCATTTACGAATGCGGCTTGTAAAGTTAACAATATTGCTCAAATCCACTGCTTACTTTTATGAACCTCATATGGTCTCCTCTTAACACCGTAGAGAAATGCATGGTTTTCCGTACACGGAAAATATACAACTTGTAGTTTTGAAGCCCTGAATGCAAGTGTAACAGCAGGTCGGGTTCAAAATTATTCGGTAATTAGAAAAGTTTTTTAAAACGAAATTATGCTCTTCTTTTGACGTGATTTTCTACCGAATAAGTAAAAGGATGAATATTATGTGAATGTTTTCCATGAAATATGATGGAATTTTTTGGAGCATCGAAAATCAATGAGAAAATTGCATGCTTCGTAAGTAGTCATTTTTGCAGAGTATAGTTCTTGCGTGCAGCCGAAAAGAAGTCCGTTCGAAAGCCGGCGCCCTGAGGTGACTGAATTATTATAGAATTACGCTGCATGATGATTAGTTTTACAATCCTTCTTAATTAATCTCTTCGAAACAAGATCGCATTTCGGAATTTCGACTGACATTTCATGATTTAGCCCACCTGCTGTAACTGTATTGGCCAGATGATGAGCTGCGAAGACAAATGTTTTCATATAAATAATGGTCAGCTTGTTAGAAGGTAAGCTTGCCTTTTAATAACTATAGATGTATGTTAAATGTTTGTGCGCCTGGAGATATCACAAATATCACCCTTTTTCAAATCGGAGCAGGAAGTGCGGCCAAGAACCTGTCGGCTGCCCTAAAATTAGCGGAGAACTACTTCACCACGGTGGCTCCCCGCAGCCTTCTCTCGCCCGATCTGAATGCCCACACGCTCTCCGCGGAGCACCTCGAGGCGATCCGACTAAAATTCGCCCAAAGCCTGTGTCTTCGCACCCAGCGTTCAAACGGCCTGGAAGTTACCGATGAGGTCTGTTCAGCTGACGATACCGACGATGGCGGCCGTGGCGGAACCGCTCACAGAACCGACGTTGGCACAGCAAACTCCTGTTCGACGACAACGGACGCGGAGCAGGTGGCATCGCTAAAAGTTCCCCATCGGCGGCATGGGCGGGAGTTCTCAACACTTTCATCAAGATCGCAAACGCAGACACAGATCATGGAAGACGCCAGTGACACTGATGTAAAGACTCATCTTGATCGCCTAGCCGATAGCCAGGCACAGGCAACTGCATTACTGGTTCAGTTTAACAATGGCCAGAGGCGACGGTGCGTGCGATTTCTGCCTTTTCTCATATAACACCTGTACGACCTCTGACACATGCACAAACTGAACTTTTGATAATTAGTCAGCTTCAAAACGGTTTGGCGCCAAGAAACTGAAGTCCTTTGGATCATTTCCGGGATTATATATGAGCGGCGTAGTCGGTGTTTCACACTTTACCTCAGGATGTCTGAAATTCACCAAAATCAGACTGTTTACATAGATAGAGCTGCTTATAGCGGGTTCTGGCAACAGTTGTTTATGTCGATTTCTTCATTTTGTTGTGATTATTAGGATTTTCAACGACAGCAAGGAAGACTGGCATAGCCATTTCTGTCTTATTAGCCACCATCAGTCAGCCCTATCACATTGCACGTTGGCAGCACCTGGGAATCGACCCCTTTGTATTCCCGATCGACATTTCGACCGTTGTTGCCGACGATGTCCACCGTGCGCTCTACTGCAGAAGGTGAAGCATGCACGGTGAATTTCGCGTGATTTGATTTATAGTGAATGTAGGCTTGTCCTGCACCTACTGCACTCTCCCCTCCCCCCACCTGGGCCAGGTGTCAAGACATAGTCAAGAAGACCGGAGGCGGAGGATGGTGGAGCAGGCGGATGGGACGGTCGAACCCGCAACTTGGCGTTACACTCCACAACCCCTGTTCCACACAGTCGAGCCCGACGCAGTCTCAGTTAGGCGTGCCGTCACACCTGGCCCGGATCCCACGGAGTGGGAGTGCCATAAGGGCCAAGTTAAGAAGGGGCAATTGCAGCCTGACTCTTAGAGCCGGCCACTCCACGCAAACACACAACACTGAGCCGACCGCGAGGTCCAAGTTATCTCGTCAATTGGCAATCTTCCATGCCACGGCCTTTAGCGCACTTGTGATGACTTTAAGCGTGTCAGGTTGTTCATAGTGAGGAATATGCGCTGAGTCGCCAACCTCACTCTTCCTTCCCATTCCCAGGCCTCAGTCACTGTCCGAGCCGGTCAGTTGACAGGTGCGGGGAATGGATGAGTATTCTCTATCACAAGCGTCAGCACAACGGGCCTATGATTCGATAGTAAGACGTTGTACTCCATGACCCCAAAGTTATGGCATCCACTCCTAATGGCCCTGCAAATGAATCGCTATGTTGCAAACTCAGCCTTGTTAGTTTGTCCACTCGGATGGTTTATCATTCTGTATGACCAGTCCTCAAAGTGTTCTATTTAACGAATTTGTTAACTGCATCATCTCTAGATCTGCGCAAAGGCGCCTAAGTTTTCTTACTTTCCCCCAGCCAAATGCGCACCTCGTGGTTGGCAACTTCTCAACTGCTCGCGGTAGTAAAATATCTGGGGATTTTATAACCATACGACAGTGAACATATTCATGACGTTCCCTTAGTGTTTGCCTTATTATGCACTGAAGTGTGTAGTCTTCCGGTAACTATTTAGAAACGATTTAGCGGGTACCTTGACAACCAAGTGGAATAAGTTTAAATTTAATTGTGCATCCCCCTTTGTTCCTCTTTACGGAGAAAATCCACAGATGGTCTAGTTGCCACAAGCTGACTCAGTCGAAACACTGTTTATTAGGGCAACTGCCCCTCCTCCGGTCAGATCTAGATCTCTCATTATTTTAACCATTTTAAACGTCGAAAGGAGCTTGTGAGCGGTTCCTTACCATCGAAGGTCACAGTACTGCTTCTAGTAACTAAGCCAAGCGGACGCCGGCGTGTAAATTGAAACTTACGAGACGACTAGGACGCCTAAAACGGGCTGCACTGTTGCGTTAAATTTGAATAGGAGTCCCATAAGGCCCTCGGCACGCGTAAGACGGTGCGCGCTGGTGCTTTACACTGAAGTTTCATCAAACCAGCGGTGTGTGGCATGCGTTGGACGTGGGCTTTAAGTTCAGTGCTTCCGACTACCACGACGTACAGAAAGTGATAGTTTGCAACACTGCCAGCTGACGAGGTAACTCTGACCCTTTCCGGACCGTCGAGGCAATATCCCCCTTACGTCGAACTTTATGGCAACTCTTCCTAATGAGAGACCCGACTTCTGGTATCTGGTTCACGAGCATGCCGACATCAGCATGCTCGTGTTCATTGCCGGCGTGCGCCAACCATATCTTCCCAGTTGTCTTGACTTCGAGCTGTCGCTTAGTTTGTGAGGACAGTACGAGGTATAGGTGCTGGGTCAGGCCACTAACTATAAATATATTAGTTCAAAAGTCGACATTACGCCCCTCCGGGACCACTGGCAGTCCTCGTTGCCTACCGTGAGGCAACTAGACGCCACTCGACGGGAAAATGATATTCCTAGGGGTTCTTAAAATGAAGATGTCGACGCCTGGACGATTGGTGGAGTATTCTGTCCCCTGTATAGTTAAGCAAATGCGTCTGAAGATGTGTTGACCGCTATTTCATCACTAACGCAGTCCAAAAGTGTTGTTGAAGCAGTGAAATATTTGTAGACCAAGTACTAATAAACGCATAACAGTCTTGCATGATCGCATTTGCCCTACTTGTAGTCATAAAGTAATAGGAAAACAGACCCGTAGCTCATTTGCAAAGCACTAGACGTACGCGTTCAGTGACCAATGATTCTGGTTTCTGATCGTAAACTATCCAAACCTGCGGTCGGGCGTGACTGGCTGAGGACGTCTAATAGGTCAGAAATGACCACTCCGGACTCATTCTTTCATGTTAGTGATGCATTTCTGCGTAGATTCCTGGCCGCTATGCGATTACCTACATTAAGCCCCAAGGCATACATCGGGACGATCAGGTCTCGTAACCCGATGGGTGTGAGTTTTTACTACGACAATTAGGAAAATATGCTTGGGATTTTCGGCAATTAGCAATTACTGATCATCTCTGCAACTACACAGGGGCAAACATTTTAAAGTCTCTTTATGTTGGGCGTTAAAATGAGCTAATGTCTTCCCAACAAAGTATTTTTGGAATATGCTAGTCTTCGTTGACATTAGCTATTTCATTCAAATGTTCGGGTCAACAACTTCGAACACCTGAGGACTAATTTTGAGTGTTCCCATCGAAAAGCAAGTTGGAGAAATTCCGGCTTTTCCGAAAGCCTTAGACACCTATTCAGTCAGGGACCATATGTGTGGTTTTCTGACATTCAGGCGTTGAACAATACGAACGCAGTATTCAAATCGCCGGTGTATCTCATCCTGTTTTGCTAAAAGTGGTCTCCGAGTTGTGAAGAAATAATAATTGTGTTTAAATACAAATACGTGTTTTGCCGCTGTACCGGCAGTTCCATTATGCATTCTCCTCTTGAACTATTTTACTGTGTAATTGGAACAAGATATCAGTAGGAGATTTGGAAACGTTTAGGTCAGAATCGTAGCCCTCACCTCTCGAGGAGAAGATGGAGTAGGGAAAGATGGAAACGTGCCAGGAACAAGTCACTAACTGTATTTAGCAGAAATCTCCGAGTTGGCATGTGAATCGCCATTATAGCTTCGTGGAATATATCTGAGCAAACTAAAAGATTCAAACGGAAGTTTAACCATCCCGATTTTAGGATCACACATACGATATGTTTTGTTTCATATTTTTCTCCCAGCTTGAACTGGCATGGCTTTTGATTATTTCATAGCTCAGAACCCTAACTCTCGGAGATTAATTAATTACTTCAGTGTTTAGGATAAGGAGAGAACTGTTTTGCTGATCTAGCTTGCCGACTATTCTCGAATCTTTGCCTATAAGGAGTGGTGCATTCGTCCCAGTTTCCAGGAATGCTACACATCTGTTCAGATCAGCAATTGTACCTTAGGACTCCGGGTGCAGCGTATTGTGTTCCCATCATACCACCCTTTGAGCAGTTTATTATGGCTGTCCAGTTTGATATTCGCATCTTATAGTGGGACGGAAGATTATATTTTTGACCTCTTAATTAAAAAGCAGCCTCTCTTGGGGTCTACGACGATATCACATTCGGTAGCCAACAGTATGTACTAGCTGGCACGGACAGTTGCGTGGTTCTTCAAATGTAGAGATCTCTAAACTTTTGTTTGTAGTCGTTCTCTTTCAATTGGGAGTCGATTTCATTCACTGAACCCACCATACATTTAGAAATTCATCGGCGAACATCGATTAAAATTTTAGAGACAAGCCTTTTTAGATTCATGGTAAACACTCATGGAAAGATGCTGGCTGTCTACCAAGACCTTCAGTTAACTAACTGCGTAATACTTACCACTGCCAAGCTCCGGAAGTTTGTTGCATAATTTCTTACAACTTCACCTAGTATCTGCAGAACAAAGGCGGACTGAACGTTTGCTAGTACTTGCATTGAAATCATGTTTATTTAACCCTCAGAAAGCCTATCTCATAATACAGAAATGTTCGACAAAATACACTCCTTTTGTGATATATGAGATCACTGGTAATCAGGTAGTGCAAATATTTAGGGAATGTCCGTGCATTTTTTCACTGGTTAACCCCTATTACTTGCGCGCTAGGGACACATTTAAATTTCTTGGATAAGCCTTCGCCGGACACGTGAAGTAGTAAGCTTGTCAGTATCCAACTTTTATGACGGAAAATTATGCATAATTTTCAGGCATCCATTCGGTTGTATGTAGTACTACATAACTGCTAATTCCAAATCATTTTCACACCAAATCTGGCCGTATTTCGCTGTGAACTTTCCCGGCAACCCATGCATACCGGGTTCTCGCTTCTTGTTTGTATCTTATCCCTTGCTCATCTGACTCGTACCTTTCTGCTCCTAGTTTAGACCCGAACGCCTTTCTAGTTTTGGCCGTCGAATGCAACAAAACTCCCTTAGCTTGTCACTAAAACCCGAAGTGGTCTGAGCGGACGGTCATCACTCGAGTGGAACCCTGAATTAATGACAAGTCAGACGCACGTACCACCGATTATCATGAAACTGACATGTCCTGCTAGGATTTTATTTGTTTCTGACACTTTTCTGTACGTTACAGAAAATTATTCGTCACTGTAACTTATTCAGTATGGGCCTCCTCTTCCGGGCTATAGTGAATATATTTTGTTTAAGTGACCAAGATCCCTTCCAGGTTGGACAAATGAGTAGTTTTCCAGTCATTCGATAATTCCAAATGACAATTGACAATCTTTGTTGGTTTGTCTTGCGCCCGACAGAATTCCGACGCTCTGCTTTTCCTCTCCCGTCCCCTCCTACTCAACGACGGTGAATACCCCATGTACGTTTCCCTACACGTTCGGCATTCAGCTTTGGTGCAAGTGGCTAACTGTTTTCTCTATCCCCACAAACGTGCATTAAACTAAGATTCTCTTTGTAAAGATCCTGCGGATTGCCGCAAGTTTTAAAATTGAGTACTTTGCATATGTAGGGTAAACTATGAAGAAAAAATTGTTGATTTACCCTCTGAATATGGTCACTGTCGCTAGTAACCTAAAAAGGTGAATGTCCTAATCATATGTAGAGGGACTCCGCACATTTACATGACAGTGGAATTGGGACGAGCAAGCGGCTACTGTGGTTTTAATGGTGGCAGTTTTGGGGCTATCGCCTTGGACTTGACTGCAGAAGGTTGTCGGACTTCCGTGTTCAGAGCCTCAGCTGAGTAGAGCCACCGCAGTTAAAGGACATTGAGGCTCGGCTGAGACACATTCTACGTAGAACCCGTCGGTACCAAAGCTACTACAGGTCTCATCGCGACTCACCGTGCTACTTCTTCTTTCAGAACCGGAAAGAGACTGGAGTGTTGTAAGCCTGACGGCCTGCAAAGGTCGCCGATCAGTACCGCGTCAGCAACTGTTTTGCAAGAATGCTAAAACTACAGTAGGTGGGCTGACTCATGAAATGTCAACCGAAATTCCGAAATGCGTTTTCGTTTCGAAAAGATTAATTAAGTAGGGTCGTAAAACTAATCAGCCTGCAGTATAATTATATAATAATTCAGTAACCTCAGGATGATGGCTTTTGAATGAACTACTTTACGACTGCATACAAAAAGTACACTCTGTAAAAAATGTCTTCATAAGTAGCTACATTTTTCTCATTGATTTTCGATGCTCCTAAAATTCCATGGAAAACATGAATAAAAATATTGATTCTCCCGCTCATTCGGTGGAAAATTGCATCTTCTTCCAATTTTATACTCCAAGGAAGGATATTATTCGGTTTTATAAAACTTTTCCCATTCGCGAATAATTTTGGACCCGCTCTGCCGTTAAACTTGCATTCAGGGTTTCCAGACTACAAGCCATGTATTTTCCGCGTACGGAAAACCACACACTTCTCTACGGTATTGAGAGGAGACCATATGGGGTTCCTAAAATTTTGCATTGGATTTGATTCATACTGTTAACTTTACAAGCCACATTGGTAGATGCAGAGACATGACGTTTTGTGAACGGCCATTTCACGGTATTTAAAAGTCTCAAAATTAGCAACTTTTTAATACCGAATTAAGAAAAAGCCCTGATTTGTAGGGAAAATTCCACAGGAGATTGCTTACATAATTGCCTGAGAGGGCAAGCAGCTGTTTGCGGGTCGAGGAACAGTTAACATAAATGCCTACTTGATTACTGCAAGTAGTAAAATCGCGTGTAAGTTCGATAAGCGGCAACGTGGGTTTGCGCGCGACCGTCAAGTGAGCGGAGTAAAGGTTCGCTGTAGGTTTGCATACCCCCAACTTATTATCCAAGGTCGTCCCTTGAGACCGCGGAAGTCTTGGTGTCCTATAGCTGGCTTGCACCATCAGCCTGTCACACACACATCCGATTCAGACAGGAAATAAGTAGAACTGCATTGAAACAAATGCAACTCAATGGTAGAAAGGAAAGTCGCCCAAGAAAAAGACAACTTTTACTCGACCCTTGCACAAAGTAATAAAGGCCTTTTTAATAGGCTTCTCGCGAAAATTGACTAAGTATCCGAGTATATTCTTATATTCTGCTTCAGCCGACTCTACATTTCTGGCCGTTTATTGGTCTCCTGATAGTCACCTCTTCCTATATGAACTTCGAAAAGATTCTCAAGGTACGTGTGCAGACCTTTGATTTCAAAACACAGTATCACGCCTGGTTTTTAACGGCGCCATGTGCACTCACTCCTTTGAAATCACCCCTGTGGACAAATTTCTCTCACCACCGCCTTTAAAATCCTCCTTGCAGATAAACTTGTGTCGACATTCAACTACTCAGCGCACATCTCGACGTTTAGTTTCGTAACCTTGCCCACGCGTTATGGGCTGATGGACAACGGTTGGGATCAAAAACGTCCCCGTGAGCAACTCCTGGCCCTGGTTGGCCTGAACTCTGGAATTGTGGATGTCTTCGAAGTACTTACTGGTATGAAACCTTACTTATATTTTGTCTTGTCGGGTGGCCTTCGGACTATTTATTACCGGCAAATAAGCGACCGCTTGCAGGGGGTGCCAACCGGACTCCTAGGTCAGATGAGTGAGGACGAAGTACGCGGGAATTCGAGTAGTCTCCATTGTATCTAAGGGGTCGTGATTACGTGGTGTTTAACCGACCGCACATTGACGAATGGCCAGTCAATAAGGACATACAAGCTTTAAATAACACGCTAATTAGCCTCGTTTTAGTCAACAATATTTCACAATTACCCATAAAACTACCTGGGTCATGGCGCAAACAATGTTTCTGCATCCCCCACTTAAAGGCTGGTAGTATCTATCCAATAGTGTAAAACACTGACTAAAATCAATAAGTCGCTAAAGTATCTCACGTAGATCGCTTGGGGTGGAAGAAATCATAAAACTATTATACATTCGTGATTGACTTTTATTCTAGATTTTGTCGATTCAGTATTCTGTGGTTATTCTATTTGATATACTTTCTTGATTGACTGGAGGCTGTAATGACTGAATAACAACTGGACGAGATCCTATTTCGCAGCCGGACCTGTTAGGGGTTAGTGGTTAAGGTTAGGAGTTAGGAGTCGGGGTTTGGGATTAGGGTTAGCGGTTAGAGGTTGGGGTTTAGAGGTAAGGCTGGAACTTGTCTACTGCGGGTGTGGCTACTACATAAGAACCGACCAAGAACTGTGACAAGACACCGATGGTCAGGCTTCCGGAGATTTTATAAATCATGAATGGGCGCACACCGATCTACTGGCTTCCCGAAGCAAACAAGATCTGTATGGGTGGCGAAGGCCACGAACAGGCAACCAACTACCAGGCCGAAGTCGGCCAAGTTATAATATCAGAGAGGAGGGACGACAGAGAATACGATTACTAGTCCATAACTCTGAGCACCAGCTAGGGCCAGAAACACAAACATGAGCGCTTTCACAGCGTAGATGGTCCACAGACTGGGTCTTACAGTTGGATCGCTATCACCTCCTCAAACAGAAGTTTATCAGTGCCTCGCCACCTGTCGTTCTGTCAATGCTATTATAATTTGTTCAACTTCGGCCTGGTATGTGGTTGCCGTACGGAGCTTGTTTGCTTCGGCAAGCCAACAGATCGGTGTGCGTCCATTCCTGAGTGGATAAATACCCGATCTGCAGCGACAGAGGATGACATATGGCGAGGCAGTGATGAACTTCGGTTCCATGAAGTGCTTATGACCTATCTGCTTGACCTGTTCGTGGTCAATCTGCACCGTGTACGTGCGCGGGGTTTGTGGTTAGCTTTACCCGTGTTCTCCGTCGTCCTTCCACCCACCCCCCCAATCCCCTCCCCCACATTCCCAGGCCCATCTGTGTTTTAAGACGAACTTGAGTCGATTTCTCTTGGCACTGACATGTTTTTGCTCCTACCCCGTTCCCATTTAACTGTACTGGTCTGACGAAAAAATCAATAGAAAGCGAACGTATGCTCGCGAACTGGCCTTTTGAATGTTATAAATGCTTCGCCAAGTAGAGGTTTGTGTTGGTGAACAACTTTTGTGATACGGACTATGGGGAAGCTTGCATATTAAGAACGACTGTCGCCAGAAAACTGGACCAACCATTAGGTTTATTATCCGCTGCTCCGCTGTCAAGGTCGGGTTGACGCTGGACAAGGCCAACTTCATCGATGTAGAAGACGGATAACTGCATAAGTGGAAGTTGTTGTGGGCGGTATTTCAACTAATCAAAAACTTGTTTCTTTGGTAGAGGGCGCTTACCGATCGTTCTTACGGAACTCACTCTTTCCGTTGTACCTTGCGGGCTCTCTCTCGAGCCCAACCAGCAGCCGCACAGCGACGCATGCTATAGACAGTATGTTATTACCGACAAAGACAAGGGGGACTGGAATGGCCATTTCTGGCTTATTAGCCGTCGTCAGCCAGTCATAGCCAACCCCGAAGTGTCGAGCACCCGAGGCTCGAACTCGCCACCTGTAAGTTAGAAGTCCACGCCTCTAACCACTGGGCCATGAGCCCGTTGTCCTGTCAGTTTCGATCGGCCATATTACAATGGTAGGGGACGCTCACCCATCGTTCCTACGGTGTTCCACCCTTCGGGGTTAGGTATGACTGGCTGACTACGGCTAATAAGCCAGAAATGGCCATTCCAGTCTCCAGTGTCTTTGTCGGTAATAACATACTGCCTATAAGTTTCTTTACGCAGACTAAAGACAGCGTGCAAACTCACCTAGACAGAAAACATACTGGGACCAGAGATGAGAAGAAGTCTCACCGGTGTAACCACTGTTCGTATTCATTCATCTGGATAAAAGTTTCGTTTGAAAGTAAAACAATTTAGAAAACTTCCCAATCAGAACCACGGGAGAGAATCATCCCTAAAGAAACTGTTTTTATTTCCTCTCGCATCCAGTTGCTCATCTCGCATGCGTTAACTCAAATCGCGGCCCCGTACGGAGTCTGGACGTTGTTTACACTCCACAACAACACTCTGCGCATATCATTGGCACTTCCTTTGCGTCAAGAGATGAAGAAGGCGAGGGTAGTCTGGAAGAGGTGGAGTTCTTTCAGCTCGGTCTCAGGCTTTCTGCCGTTGGCTCTGTTCGTCGCACCGCACAATCAACTGTCAGTGTTGTGTAGGTTTTCAGGTCCTTTAATTTGCCTTATATTCAGCTGTTCTGAGGGCAGTTGTGTCAGGATTATTAACAGTCATACTTTTATGAATTCAGATAATTTCTTTCTGAAAAAGCAACAAGAAATTAACTTTCGTCAGACGTGACAATAGGATGCTCTGTTATCTTCGTCAAACCTGTTGGCGGGTTCTTAAGCTCGTGAAATTGCCGTAAAGTGACGAAGATGTTATGTTTTATAACAGCTTCATGAAAGACCACCCGCTCAATGAGCGCAATAAAACACTTTTAGGGGCTGTTATTTGAGAAGCCATTTCTGTGCAGATGGATTGTTTTCTTCGCCATCTGGAACACATCAAAGAGCAGGGCTAGAATTCCCATTATTAAGATCATAAATCAGAGATTTTAACACGTAACTGATGGTACCGCAGCTGGCTTAATCGGATAGTTAAGTAGGTCAAAGGTTCAGTGTAGATCCTAATCACAGATTATTGGCCCTTTTATCTTGCTGTGAATGCCATTGGGTAAAAATTTTTAAAAGCGTTATCTGTTCCTATTTGGAGGGAGCCGAGGACTTAAAACAACATAATTAAGACATTGCACTGAATAACGCTAAACAAGCAATAATGATGAGCATAGTCACGAGGAAATAAATTTACGGAATGAAAGTAGGAAACTAGAGTGGCCAGTTCCCCCGTTGCAGGCGATCTGCATCGCGTGGCCCGCGAAGTTTGTTTATCCGTGAGCTGTACGTGAAGAAGTTTAAAGTGAGGCCGACTTTCACTGCATCCACCGCACTCTCACCTCCCCCCCCCCTCAGTAAACTTGCACCGATTTTAAGACAATGTCGGAAAGACCCGCTGGAATAACAGCGGGTCTAATCGGATAGTTAGGGCGGAGGTTTAATGTAAATTCTAACCACAGATTATTGGCCGTTTCATTTTGCTGAAAACACTTTTGGATAAGGGTTTCTGAAAGAGTTTTCTGTCTCTATTAAGGGGGACGAGAAATTGAAACTATCTCATCACGCCATAACCCTGAGTAAAGCCAAAAGATAATGAAGGCAAACGTAGTTGAGAAAAGAAGTGTACGGAATAAAATTAAAAATCTGATAGTCAGTTTGGAAATACTGATCGGCATGATGCGACGACGTGTACCGCTCGACCCCCGGGTGGGTTTATTCGCCAATTGCGCGTGAAGTTGTTGATAGTGAGACTGTCTTTCACTGCGTCCAGCACACATACACACAGTGGTCGACAAAACTGAACGACCCGTCTACGCGTACCACGAGCATGCATGCATCAAAATGACGTTAAAAGTCAAAAGAAAATCACCACCAAGGCGAAGAAATATTCGAAGGACGAAGAACTGAGGTACAAACACTTTAGGAGAATTGAAGGCAACCCACACGAGGAAAAATCAATTAAATATTTCCAAAAGGCATGTTGGGCTCACAATACGTTTATTGAAATGCCGTTGTGTTTTCTTTTCTAAAAGACCCTGCTTTTTCAGAATATGGATTTCCAGAGTTGGAGTTTACCAGGTCAGCCTCACGATGACTAAGCCAGCTTATATTTTTACGCTTCACGCCGGAAAATAACCATTATATAAGACCAAATTCTCTGATCCAAGCACGATTTAAAATTTTCATTCAGTAGGCATTATAAGAAAAAAATAAACATTTGGACATTTTTGCAGATCTGCAGGACTGGTTGGTGAGAAAACGACCCTAGTTAGTTTCGCCCCGACAGGGACTGGATGCCGCCCATTTTATGCAAGAGCACAGGAAGCAAAATTGGACGGCCTACATGCATCATGAAATGTCAACTGAAATTTCGAAATGTGCTTTGGCTTCGAGAATATTGATTAAATAGGGTTGTAAAACTAATCAGCATGCAGCAATACCCTATACCAGTTCAGTTACCTCATGATGTCGGCTTTTGAACAAACATCTTTCCGGCTGCATGCAAAAGCCATATTCTTTAAAAAAATAACTGCTAGTAGAGCATGCATTTTTCTGCTTGATTGTCAATGCCCTTAAAAATTCAATTATATTTCATGGAAAGCATGTGTGAAAATATTCATCCTTTTTGAAACGGAAACGCATTTAGGAATTTCGGTTGACGTTTCATGAGTTAGCCCACTTACTGTAGACATGTCGTAAACAACCATTAAAACACTGATACAAGCGAAGATGCAAGTTCCAGGAACTAGTTAACAAGAAGAAGAAGCGATCGCTGGAACAAAGGCTTTGAACTTTAGCATCTGATCCCGTTCGATGACGACGAATGTATCATCGCGAGAGGGGATAATCGCGTGAGCCGCGAGTTGCTTGGGTCATGGTTCACGGGACCTCAGTCTATCAACAAGTGCAATGACATCCCCACCCTATATTCCGTGCTGAGATATAGTCTGGCCAAAGTAATTAACCACTCGGGAGCGCGCAGGCCGCTGAGCCAGCAGCCAACACGAGTGATGAGATTTCAGCAGTTAACAACATGCATTGCGGCGATCAAGCAGTTAGCGCACCAGCGAGTAACAGTGCTTGATGAAGGGGAGATCGGTTAATAGGTATGCAGTGGCATAGCTACTGCATCCTTTAATTACTGTAATTTCCTGCACATGAATCACCCGTATCCGTTACCCTCTCTGATGCTAGGTTCGGACGAGAATCCGAAACGTCAGGATAATAAAGCCCTTGTTCCAGCGGTCGCTTACTATTAGCCAACTATGTTGGAAGCCCCCTCTCGGTTGCTCCATTAATACATGCTATATCATTGACCTGTAGGCCCATTTTCTGCCTACAGGGCCTGGAAACTTTGGAGCTAAAAGCTTGGCTTCTGTTGGCAATGCTTCTGTGTTATGTTCGATTGAAAACACGAAATAAGTTAGGAATGGCGGATTGTCTAGTTTTGTCGACACAATCTCTTGATGATAGATTTCTACTCTCTACGCCATTGTCCGCAAGCTTCCCTGCTCAGCAACTCCGTTTTAGAGGAGGGGGGAGATCGTCAGTCATGGCACACCACTGAGGACCAAGTATGTTTTTACTTTGCATTTCCCAGACCTCATCCGCCAGGGCGTGAGTTCGTCGGCCAATTGGTAGAGCTTGCGCCAAATTAGTAACCGAACTTGGAGTTGGACTTCGGGCCCCCCTGCGCAGCGTTGGGGCGGGAAAACAAACTACAGAAACAGGAGCTCAAGCCCTCCGTACTTTACATCTCGTCCTACGTCGATTTTTGTCGCAAATGTGATTTCCTGTGTGCTTTTTTATCTCTTTTGTACGGTATTTCCTGAAAATCAGCGTCCAGTCGGTGCTGTTTTACTTTACTTGGCTTATTCAAGTGCTGCACAACAAAACTAACAAGCGCTGATTCGGTTCCCTATGATCAAAATTATCTAGTCCACGTGCATTATTTTGTAAGATTGCAATTTTCAAAGGATCTGCGACAGTCCACATTTTGCTTTAAAGGCCATTTGTGGATACAATTACTCCTTCTTCTGAACGACAATACCCCTGAATATGCTGTAATTTCCACCAGAATACTTCCTTCTGGCATCATGATTGACAGCGGTGCGCATTATTGTATAAATATTATCGTATCCTAACGCAGACCCAAATTCTTGCCTTAACCTAGACCTTAACACTAATCCCGATCCCGTGGAAATTAGCGAAAGACGCGGGGATAGGTGGGGGCTGTAAAAACTTCTATCCTGTGGTTATCTTCTTCCCGCTTAGTATGACAAGGCGGGAATTACAAGTTTTGCGGTTGACGAATAACATTTTCTTTATTTTTCTCCCATTCAGCCCAAAACATACGTCATTTGTACCCACTGCCTTCCATCGACTGACGTCCGGAGCACGTAGCAGTCTGGTAAGAAAAAATCCTCGAATAGCCTTCTTTTCGAGTGTGCTAAAATGTCTCTTTTACCAAAGTTTATGAGAATATGGACCCTCTGTATAACAGGTGGTTGTGCCCTAAATTTCAGAGGAGTTAGGTCAAGGGTTGGAGGGCTCTCTGGAATTTAGCGCGAGGCCCCCTTCAGTACGAGGGGAGGTCCATATTACCGTGCCCCACTCAGCTTTGAACCGTCCAGTAGTCTTTGTCGTTAGTCACATCTGAATTTCATTCTTCTGTGGATCCCACTGGCAACTTCATGCAACCAATGTTCTCTGCTGAGCGCTTGAGGAGATCGGCTTACAAACTCAACTACTTGGCTGTACCTTCAGTAACTCGAATAGGTGTGATTTGGATGTAGTGAAAACGTAGACACGTTCGTGACTTGTCTTCTGAATTATCTTTTGAGAATCCTTCCACAGTTGCGCTGAACAATTGCATTATTTTATAGATTTTTGCACAGCTACGGTGTACTCATGACCCCTCTTCTCCCACCCTTAGAATATTCTGTCTGTGATAATTTAATTTCACATTCGTTTTGAATAGTTCCACTTGACTAAATATTTGCATTTCCTCTAGGTGTTGGCTCTATTTGGAAAGGATGGACAATTATCGATTGCTCAACTGGGTCCATCCCCCACCCCCAATGACAGTAGCCCTTGTCCGACCTCCTGTGTGCTTAGTGAGCTAGCAAGTGGTCAATTTCGACCCGTCAGTTTGAATTCCGAGTTTACCTGGCCTCCCAAAGAGTGCATTCTCGTGCCAAAGGCTCGTGACAGTGAGTCGTTTGTGGAGGACGATGAACAGCCCATCAGCCGTCTCTGGATTCATGGTAAATTGGCTGAAGCTGTTTTGCGATATAAATCTCTATGTGTGACGGTGCCACATTATGTCTGGACGTTGTCAAAGCCACAGCGGGCTGCGCTGTATATGTGTTGAACCAAAAAGGGGCCCAAATCGACTCGCGGCACGCGTCTATCGGGCCGCGCGTAGTCCGTTCGAGACCACAGTTACTGACGTATATGACGACAACAGTTCGACCATAGGTCTGGAAGACGCCCACCGTGTGCTCTACAACAGAGAACAGGGACAGTGGCTTGCGCGCGAGCTGGTTTAAAGGGATGGTTCCAGACTGACTCGCGGAACGCGTTTATCGGACTGCGCAGGGCATGTGTGAGGCCATAGCTATTGCCGTACATGAGGACGACAGTCCGACCATCGATTTGGATGACGTGTAAACAGGGCGAAGGTAGGGACGATAATTTGCGCTTGGGCTAGTTTAAAGGAATGGTGGACTTACACAGCCTCTATCGCACTTTCTCCCCCACCTCACCAAGATCCGGTACAATGACGAATTAGAGAAGACCGAACGTGGGAAAGGGTGCAGGTGGCTAGGACGGTGTAAATCCGCACCTAGGCGTCTCACCACACCCCCTCGTCCACAACAAACACCTAAGCAAATTTTCAACAAAAAACAAAAATGGAAGACAACGAAGATCTCCATTGGCGCGGCGTGAATCTGCACCTGACCCGCCACCGCACCCCGAACGCTGGCAGTTGTTATGGGTGCGCATTTCCGATTACGCCTGCCAGAATCCCATATGGCTCCGGTGTTGATTCAGCGCATTTACAACGTGAGGCGTTTTAGACGCACAAAACCGTACACACCGACTTCTGTAGGCAGAAAAGAAAATTCCCATCTTTCCTAATAATGAGTACCTACTGGACGTTAGACACACAGCTGACTCAAAATTCACCGTTCAAACGCCCATCATTGGACCAGTAGGTCTGAAACAGTGCCATTCAGAGGCGGCTTATGTAGGAATGGCCAGACTGGAATTGGGCAAAACACTAGATCACCTAGTAAACCAGGACTTGGCATGACAATTTCAATTTCACAAAGGTGCTCAGACCAACACTTTTCTTGGCCAATTTTGCCTTTCTCTACTTTATCTTCCCCTCTCTAATAAACGACGTTGTAAGCTCTGGTTTTGTATGTTTTTATATCAGCAATCTGGATGAATTCCGATTGCCCTGTAGTTTTCATTCGTTAGTCGTTTTATGCAACATTAGGAAGCACTCAAATAGTCGTTGCGAATTTTAGCAGTGTATATCAATCCTGTTTATCGTAAGACCGATATTTTCTTAAAATAAACGTAGGGATCAGAATATTTTACAAACCTGCTTTATGGAACAAATTTCCCGCACCTGTTCATTTATTATAAGTGGAAAGTAGAGTCGCGATTTAAGCTTCCCTTCTACCACCATGTTAACAGTATACATAATGAGCTGATTTGCTAATAAACTTTCCCCTCTCTCTCTCTTAAAGGTGTTGAGGAGGACGATGGTGCTCCTGAAGGAACACAGTGCTCAGACCTGTATTTTGCTGACATAAGGTTCATTATTAAACCTTTAACTTTGTTTCTGCGTTCCCTATATCTGTTTTAGATCTCATTTCATTTATTCGAATTGGAAATCGAGATATGGTGTAAATGTACTCGTTGTGGATGACTTAGTTTTGGCCCTTAGCACTCGTTCATTCGTCTTGCACATGTTTAATTACAAAAACTTTGTTCGGCGGACTGCCCGCTCTAACAGAAGTGGGCTGGGGCAAACGCGAGGCTCTCAATCACATCAATGTCCCGTCCATGCACCTCAAGGGCTTTTTTGTATTTTATGCTGAGTAATTTGTGTTCTTGGTCAACCTCTGGAGTCGTGGGGAAGTATTTTGTGATTTCTCGATTCCAGACGATAAACTGACTTCCGCTCTAACCCGGTATATTTTCTCGATGTTATCAACTACGGACAACTGCGAACGTAAGCCTGCCTTATTTGTCCTTGACATGGATTCGTCCAATAGCATGCAAGGTAGGCGCTTAATGGGCGTTGTGCAGAGAGAGAGAGGGGGGGGGAGAGAGGGAGAGACAGTGAGTGGCTGTTCTAAGGAAAAATGAGATGCAATTTTTTATTCGTCAGTAAGACCACTTCGGCGTTACTCTATGTGGACAAGCACTATCCGGATAAAAACAAAAATCAGAATTGTTTGCATTTCAAGAGCTTTGGTAGACGAGCACAGTATTCTGCGTATTATGCGCTCTCAGGGTTGTATTACGAGTTTAAACCCGGTGGTCGAACGTTCTCTCTGTTTTTCGATTGTTAGGTCAGCAGTCTGAATCCACTTACGACAATTTAAACATACTTACCAGGAAGTTTATAGGTACGTCTCAATCAACCTATGAGCCACCCTCTTCCTAAAGCTCTAAGTTGACGTGACTCACTTCTATGGTCGCCTCCCTTCGAAAAACGTCTGGCTAGCCGTGCCTCTATCTTGACAACATAATGTTCACCATGTGAATCACCAATTTCTAGGTCACTTGCCCATGAGGATACACTGTGGACAAGTAAGAAAACTACCTTTAATTTAAGTGAGGCTGAAAGATTTTATATTTCGGTAGAACGTACGAGAAAACGACAAAACGCAAGTCTGAAAGTCTAAGTATTTACGTAACAGTTCAGTCGACCAAACCTGGCGTTAACCTTACTTGTCTAGTTACAACAACCCAGAACGTAGACAGTAGAGATAAACCCTTCGTTTTCCTCAAGGAGATCGAGTAGTGCATCACAAACCTCTTCATGGGAGTCATTTCTAAGATTCCATTCCCCTTTTAGCTTGAAGTTCGAGGAAAGCGATATGGTGAAGACAAGTGCAGCGGAAGATTCTCGGACTCCAGTTTCGTCTATTCATTCCCTAGCCAACCGTTTACTTCGAGGCACCCTGTAAGCGAACGTATAATTAGCATCCTCTATTTCTCCAGTTATCTCGGGACACCACTGAACTCTCTCATCATATGGGCACTTGCGAAAGTTGTCTTTTGCCTACTGTTGTTACCTTGTGAGTTCCCCAGCGAACTCCGCACTGGACTTTTATATACTTTCTCGAAGACTTGGGATCTTCTTTGACTGAAGTGCCTATATGGGCTTTGTTAATTACTGTCAGTGATGCATTTATAGAAGGGACGACAAATATGGCAATACTTGTGTGCACTCATGGTTATTCGAGCCACGCTGACAATTATACAGAATCCTTCACAATGTATTCGAAGTGAGCATTTGAAATTTCTTCCTGTGTTCAATTCAGAGAAAGCGAAATTCAGGGGGGGGGGTGAAAACCCATGGAAGACTGCAAGGAGCAGCAGAAAGGGGCGGCTTTGTGCTTTAGGAAAAATAAACTGTTTGCTTGACCAAATGAGTGCCATTGTTCATTTGATGAATGCATCCTGTACCTTAGCAAAACATGCGTTCTCCCCCTCTTGCTTGCCAATTTTTTAGCTCTGCGGAGCTGACGGAAAATTTCCCTTATGATTATCATAGAAACAATATGACGTAGACGAATATGTCGATTGTCTTCTGAAGTTCTTGACTAATATTAGCGTTTAATTTCTGAGTCTGTATGAGGCTGGGTGTCCGGCTTCCTTCTATTCTATCTGATGTAGAAGTACACTGACTTTCCCCTTGGGCTCCGTTAACCAAACAATATTATTCATTAACGAATTTTTAGTGTCGCTCAGTGCGACAATTCCTTCCTCAAGGCAATTATGTTTCTGAAACTTACGAAAAGTGATAAAGAGGATCGGAGTTTCGTTGCTCGTGTGTAATCAGCAAACGTGTTCTTTATCCCCGATGGCATCTCTGAAATGTTTGATCGTTCAAATTCTCGTTTTTCACAGACTCGAAATTGAATTAAACGCTTAACTGACTTACTATTTCATGGCTAATACGTTAAGTTCTAAAAGTTTTGAGGTAGGACTATGTATGCCAGTTGCATTATTTGCTGATTTGAGCGTTGCGAATTTGCGAAGATAGTTTAAACCGTGATAATCATAATCTTATTACCCGGATTTGTACTTGGCTAACCGCCGTTTATTACGTTAGTAATTTCTGATCGAACTTTTCAAATACGTATTTGTTTTCTATCCGTGCCATGTCTCTTGAGGCGTTTCTATACTCTTTCAGGATTAACGAATAAGTGGCCTGCCCTTCTTCGTGCCAGGAAGGCCGCACAGCTGGTTTGCTAACGGTTCAAGGCCTCTAAAAAATCCTCGTAAATCTACAATCCTTTCTTACTGTCTTTTTGACCATTGAACTTATCCCCAGTCTTTGATATATTCTGTTTAAATCAGTAGGAGACTTGCATTGCACTGTTAACCACTTTGTGAATAATTTACATGAATTAAATTCGGGGAAAGGATTAATTTCTTAATTTTGTCGATCACAGCGTTTGTAAGGGTGTAAGAAAACGTTCGTTGGCCGAAGGCTTACGGCATTAGTTTAGGTCAGCAACCATGACTACGTTTCGTACCCTCACTTAGGCTTATTGAGCAATTATATTTTCACTGAGCTATTGTAGAGCACGAAATTCAGAGAAGAACAAATTTAGTTAGGCTGCAGCTTTCTTCTCCTTTACCAGTTCAGGCCAGCTCAGATTATTGAGAGGCATAGGCGTGAGCCTCCGAGCACCCTATTTGTAACGTAAAATTAGGTATGGTGCACAGAGAAACCATGTGGAATGAAATAGTCCAAAGAGACCCTTAACAGTATGAGAAATTGAGCGTGAGTCTCAATGGTTAGTCTTAATTCCTCATTGCTCTTGTTCATTGTAAAACATAAATACGTCTAGTTGCCTTTTAAAGCCTTCTATCACTGGTGAAATCTCGAAATCTGCGAGAAGGACATTTCTTGGCTTGGCCACTCTGACAGATTGAGAACTTCCCTGCATTCAGTCTTGCCTGCTTAATGCGCAGTCTTCATGAGTGACATCGGAAGTTGGTCGTCATAGCAGAGTCAAAAGGCCACCAAAGTCCAAGTTGCAGTCCAGTTTATTTACAATGCGGAATGCTTAGAGAGGATCCCCGCGCAGTTCCCAATAGCTAACTATTTCCGCGGTTCTCTTTTGGACTCTTTCAAGCCTAATCTTACCTAAAATCGCACACGGCCTCCACGCTTGTATCTTGTATTCCAAATGCAGCCTGACGAATGTTTCCAAGATGTTACAGAAAACATCCTTATCAAATCGCTTGGTGGCTGCAGTAAGGTCATTGCGCTTTTTGTAGTTCCCAGTTGATGAGCACTACGGGGTCTTTTTGGGCTTCTACGTCTCGTATACTGTACCGCTAAAAAAGTAGTTACTTGTGCTGGCGGATCTGCCTGGGTTGTCTGGACGAAGTATGATAGACATATTGATGTTGAACCGCACGATTAAACAATTTAACCATTACTCCAACCGATAAAGGTTCATCTGTAGTCTATCTTCGTCGGCAGAACCCCGAATTGTAGTCCATATTTCCATATTGCCAGCAAACGTAGCCGCGTCTCGGTCCAAAGCACTTGTGCAATCGTTCACGTAGATCAGCAACAAAATGGGTCCCAGTAGCGAACCTTGAGGAATTGTGCAGTCGATCGCAGAAGGATTTGAAGTTTTTGATCAATACACACAATCTGGTTCCGACCCAGACGGAAATTTTTAATTCGTTTGACGAAGCTGCTTTTGATCCCTGTTCTTTCCAGCCTGTCCATCAGTCTCTGGCGTGGCACTCAGTCGAACGTCTTTTGAAAGTCAGGAAAAGGGATAAGAACTACATGTATGTCGTCGAGAATTCGGATCCAGCTCTGAAGAGATCGCAACAAGTTTGCCGTGCAGTATACTCCCTTCCGGAATCCGTGTTGCTACTTCAATAGCAAGTGGCGGACACCTAGGTATGGCATAATATCGCTCTAAATGATAATTTCCATGTCAAGATTAAGAGCATGTATTTTGTCATCAATGCCCTATTACCGCCTTTGTGTTGTGGAGCTAGGCGCGACGGTCCCCGGTCAACCAGGAATTATTGCAGTGTCAAATGGCGTTTCAAAGAACATCGGTGGAAGTACAGAAAGCTCACTGTCAAGTTTTTGAGAAGCGGGGATGAAGTCTCTCCTAGCTCTAGAGACTTTGATTCGTATAATGCTAAGATATTCGGAAAAGTGTATAGTACTTATGCTTGTAGTAGGCAGATCTGCAAACGAAGAAAGGAACCTCGATTTGTTTGTGTAAACCGATTAGAAAAGCTGTGCAAAATACGCAGGCAGAATGCAAGGGGACGCGCACTGCCACAAGTCCATGGCCTAGGCGTTAAGCGTTAGACTTCGAACTTTTGATAACCAAAAGAATTTAGCTTCGAGTCACAATGCCTTCAAATCTCGGGTTGGCTAACGATGGATAAAGACAACTAATGAGCTGGAAACGACCACCTCCGTCTCCATTTCATGTGTCCGTAATCTTTTCCTAGATAACAGATTTAAGCTTGGAGTTTGCTGTGGGACTCAGGCCGGTTTTATAGTGTCGAGGGAAAACAAGGAAACCGTACTGTATTTCGGATATTTTTGAAGAGCCGCGGGAACATTAGCCTTTAGACTGACTCGGGCAGATTAGTCCAGTATTGTAGCACACGTTGTGTGAAAAATGCGGAGCGAATGTTTAGCCTGGAAATACCTGTGCCCTGTTCTCTGCACCTGCTGGGGCCTTGAGAAGAACTCCCAAAATGACTGGTAAATAACAGTTTGCTGATGAATGGCAAAACTCTCAGCTGCGAAACTAAAGGCGGGGGCAACTGCATTCGCTTCCGAATTGAGTAGATTAAATATTTCAAGCGATTCGGGGGGTAATATTAATTTATATGGGTTTCTGAAAAAGGAGAAATCAAGGGGTGAATTTTCTTATCGTGACATAACCGACCAAGACGAGGGAGACTGAAATGGCAATTTCTGGCTTATTAGCCGTCGTCAGGCATTCTACCCAATCCAGAAGTGTGAAACGCCTAGGACGAGTTAGTTCCGTAACACGATCAGTGTGCGCCCTTCTACCATAATTAATTATCATGCTTACTTCTACAATAAGCATGAAAGATTCGTCTCGAAATACTTATTCCGTGTTAGTTAATTAATATCTGCAGGAAGCGAAATGCTAAACATTGAAAACTACAGTACACGCCAGGGGATACATGACGGCGCTGTTGTATACATTAATGAGGTGAACCTCGCTCAGCTGTGCTGCACTCGCAGATTTGGCCGTAGTTTGTAATGCTATGTTGCTCCGTGTTGGTTTTTTTTGTAGTGTTCACTTTTCATCATTAGTGTCTTTAATTTAAGCACAGGATCACAGGAAAATTAGAAGAGAAAAACTAGCCAAACGGACTGAATGAACAATAATCCATGTGCGAGCACTATGCAGACCGTTTCGACCTCAGAGCTAAGGGGGTTAGGGAACATAGAAATACTGGCAGACACTCCTTGCTGTTGTGGCGGACGAAAATCAAATAGACATCGAATAAAAGAAGTCAAAAAATACATTATTTGAGAATATTGGCAGGCGGTGCTGGACCTAACAAAAATATGGAAGTTTGTGCTGAGAAGAACAGAAACAATCGGGAAACACTAGTTAATCTCGTTTTGTACATTTTACTCTCAAGGAACTCTAGTGGTGAGGGAGAGAAGTACAAGGACCGGATACAGACCTCATCGTGTGCAACCAAAAATTCCAAATATTAGTCAATAACCAACAGGTCACCCGCGAATGTGACGTGAACGGTGGAAAAGAGTAAAACAAAGAGCAATCTTTAATGACTTAAGTCCAAGGTGAAATATAGACAGTGCAAAAAAAGAAATTATTCATTTGATAACAGGATCTGTAAGTCAGTAGCCATGGTAGGATTCGTGCCCTACATCCCTTGCGACTAACTAGTTGATCAGTCATCTCATTCTTCCAAAGTTCTGAAGCTCACTAATACCCAAACCATACCATAAACTGTAAGAGCCAACGTTGCAGCGAACGTAACCCCAGACATGCCCTTGACCTTGCCAAAATTCATGGCCTTCCCTATACATAACTCGTATCTCTAACTAATAGCAGCTCCAGCGCTGACAGCTATCAAAATCCGAGACGGAATCCTAATTCTTACAATGAGTCTTACATTAACCCTTATGACCACCCTAATTGTAACCTAGCATAAACTATGAGACTTAGTCTAACGCCAGCAGTCACTATAATCATATCTCTGACCCTCAGAATTAGCCCTAACCATAATCCTTCGTATAAACACCTTATAATAAAATGTGGCCATAGAGACATCTCTACATAAGTGATCTTAGGTGGAAATTTGTATGAACTCATTGGTTTAAAATTATATGAGCCAGCGTCATTGACATGAGACGGGAATGTTCTAAGAACCCGTCTAGAAAAGAGAGCAAATCACCGGACGGATTTCAAGGGCAACTAAGAGTATCTTCAGCGACCCTATAGAGATTTAACCCGTGAATGAATAAGTGTAACGAACTAGACTAGAACGAGAGCTAGCCCAAAGAAAGAAGGTGAAGACAGTTAGTAAAAAGAGACGGTTTACTAGAGCTTACCTACACACAATTTCTGCTAAACATTCCGCTTTTTGGAGCACAAATGCAGTAGGGAGAGATACAGACCGGGGTTAGAATGTCGTCGTTACTCCACAGTTAGTTCTCAGCCATATGTATTGGGTCCCGCCAGTCGAAAAGTCAGATCAAATTCCATAGTGGTGATTGGTTAGGAGACAATGTATTTGTAGCATATGTTTGTGTTAATTAATTTTATAGGAAACCAAATATATTGCGTTTTAACTCATCAATTATAGAGTTAACTTGGTCCTCAGGTTGCAGATAAGTGAAAGCGGTTTTCGTCGCTTACTAGTGTGCACTAAGCTCTTTTAAATTTACAGTCAGCGTTTATCGTATTTGGATTGTTTTGAGGCCCTGAAGCGGTTCTGGATCCTAGGAAAATTGTGCAGAAGACCCCAGGCATCACTTTTAACGATTATGGATAATCGTAAGGTTGTTCTCAAATTTCTTATGCCTCTTTAGGTTCTTGAAAAGCGAACTCTTCTTAATGAGCTTTCGCAAGAATCTACAATAAAGGTGAGAAGCTAGGCAGATATCCGTCGAAATATTAAATCGCTCAGAGAGGTTTCACACGCAGAACCTAAATTCAATTGCGACTGTGGCAGGCGTCTGAGAACTGTGTACTAACGGCTTAGATTTGCGGGCTTGTGTGTGGCTGTAGCCATGTTCGCATGGACTACTGACAAGGGCGTTCAGTTGCAAAACTAGCCTCAAACTAACCTTGGGGGCGGGCCCGGGCGAGTATGATATTACCAAGGGACAAGCATTAATCTGTGGAAGCACATATGAATCCCTTCAACAGAATCAGTGCCATGTTATCTTTATTGGAAAGACCGCTCTCCGGGCAAATGTGCCCGTGTTTTATTTTGCTTGATCATATCAGTTGACAGCAGTCAGCAAGTAAAGGGCGATATCTTTATTACGTGCCGATTTGATGTTCATTTAACCAATGGGATTTCAAAAGCACTCCTCAAGACGCATACTTCCTGGGATGCCGTTCCAGATGCTTAGACTGACTTTAGTCTTGTCTCGTACGGTGCGTGCACTCGCTTGGCTATTTGCTTTGGAACGCGTTCCCTGCACCACATCCACTTCTGTTGTGTCGAGATTGAATACCGAAGGACTAATTACCATTTCAGGATATTGGTGAGGTGTCTGGTCAGGCCGTCATCCAGCCGTATTTGCATGAGTCTGTTGGATAGATGCCGTGGGATTTACTGCAGCATTACCAAGCATGTGAAAGGGACAACGGATACTCTACCCTCATTCATTACACAGACTTTCTTTAATTTCCTTAGAAATATTATTTGTTTTCAGACTTTACTATTCATCACGTCCTTTCTTACAAGGGCATACTATAACACAACTTCAATGGTCTTCCCATACTGTTGTTTTATGGCTGAATTTCTAATTCTGCCTGCCGCTTAGCAGGTAGTCAAATTCGGGGCAAATGTCGCAAATATTATGGGTGCTCAGCGCTGTTGGTCGACTTTATAGACTCGTCCCTAAGTTGTGCCTATACTGCCGTTTCTTAACCGACGGTTTTGCGTGGAAACGTCCCCAAAATCAATTTTAAAGTATCCCATTCAACCATTTAATTTTTGTTTTATTTATCTTCCACCTCCTGTCCCTTTATGTAAGTCTTTGTTTCTTTCTTCTGGTGTTTTTTCTCAACTCTTGCCGTCCACTTCTTCAGGGTATTTACAAAAGATGGGGAGGGAACATATTCGTTCCTGTTACGCGACCAGAAATTGTTGCACAATGTAAAGGTTTGTTGTCTTTTTGTCTCAAAGTGGGTCCCATTCAGCTGACCTGCACGAACTTGAGAAAGCAAAGAGGACTGAGCCCAACTCGACATCTTAAATTATCACCATATTTTTTTACACACAATAAAGTTCAGAGCATATCTTCTGTTTTGTTTGTAAATGTTTGTCAGTTGTGTCAAAAGCTGGCCAATTGTGTTGGAATTTACTGCATCTAAATGGCTTCCCGTTGGCATTAGTTCAGGGATTTGGCTGTAGAACACCAGCCAGTGTGCTGGTATTTGCTACCCCGTTTTGCCATTGCCTTGCTTTGGACGAAAACAGGGTAACACTGTTCACTCACATCGTCACCGTTAGCATGAACAAGTTGTCACACACTAGACCCTTGTCGTGCCACTGAACAACTCCATGCTCATACTTTTAAAGAGCTGAATAGGGCAACTTTGCTTACCGCGTTCTTTCACGCATTGCCGTTGTAGGGGAGCTTGAGGGTTTTCCCACCCACTACATTTTGATAGTTCATCCGTCGTAACCGTTGATGACGATGGTGATGATCATCACCGCCAGGTTGTTTTGATGAGCGGTGGGGAGTTTTGGACGCGGGATTGTTAATGAGTTTATTATAGCTAGGCTGTCAGCAAGTGTGTAGAACCTAGTTGGACGTCGAACAGCCAGGGCCGGTTCATGAGGGCAATTTTGATAACCAGGAATGATGGTTGTGTAGGGCATGCACACCCTCAGTCGCAGCGATTAATGACTTTGAGGACCATCATCGTACCAGCTACGATCGGACACGATAAGTGCGAGGACTGCTGGCTCTGTCAGGTGGATTGTTGCTCGGCAAGTGGACTATCTGCGCGTCTGCTGTTCTCTTCTGTTGCTGCTTCTAGCAGTGGTTTTTGACGTGAGTCTAAAATCTTATGCGAATAAAATGCCGATTTCGACAGTCGTCCTTATCAAGCGCATTTCGGAGTCCGTCTTCTGTCTGTGTTTTTAACGCCCTGTCGCACCCCAGCTTGTAATCATAAACGCCGTAGAATTGGGTTGGTTAGCATGATTTTTGTTGTTTATAATTCTTTTGATCTGAATCAGGCACCCTCTAGTATCGTAACTCTCTTATGTATAGTCCACGTTTTTTGTTTCGGTGCATCGTCTGTGGAGCATCTTAGGTGTTCCTCGAGAACTATACGAACTCTGGATGCGCGCTGACAATGGGGACACACGAGAGGGGACTAGATGTTATTCACTGACGCATCATGTCCGCTGAGGTTGCGCGGGTGTTTTTCAGGAGCCCTGATTGATGCGGAAGCATTTCTAAGAAACTCCTTGCAGCCTTGCTTCTGTCCCTCCCGCTTGCGAGTACCTGTACCTAACGTTCTCCTCCCAATACCACATGGACGTAGGACAGGCGTCTGTGACCTGTTCCCGTTCATTTCAGATTCTTTGAAGCCTTCTGATGCGGAAGTGGTTCATTTTCCTCACTTGAAACTGGCAAAATTTTCAGGTTTTTGTTCCGTAGAGTTGTGCTGACAGCTCCTTGTCCGTCCTTTTCTTGATGAAGAGGGCACCGCAGCGATTCCTTACGGAGGATTGTAGCTCGCCAGATGCCTGGGCAGCTCTGGAAACTCAGGCTGCGATTTCGCTGCCGATTGTAACGCTACTAGAGCTGGGGCTGCCTAATTAGGGAAATTTGTCCACAGCATCGAGGTGACGGCCTTTATTGCTGACTGCTGGTACAGGGATTTGCTGCAGTTGGTGCTATTTGGCGCATAATTGCTTCTGGGATGATGTTAGCGGCCAGTCGAAACTTTGCTTATCCGGAAAAGGAAGTCCAAACTGCGTCGCATGTCTGATTCGGGCAAATGCGCAGCCATCGCCGAACAGGCTATGCGTATTGATCTTGGTGACTTTCATCTAGGTATGCATGCGATCTGCTACTAACTGTTGGTTCCGCGGTACTTGTCTCCGTGAGCGTCTCTTAGCACGTTGGAGTAACTACGCAAAAAGGCGCACTCTATTATTAACAAGGACACATGGGATCGACTTGCTACCTAAATAGTGCACCTAGATATCATCGGAGAACTGTTTCTTCACGCGCGTGGACTTTTCCGGGCACCCGAAGTTTATTTTTCTTCGGAGTCTATTTCCGTCCACCATGTTGAAGTCCTTTGACGTATCAACGAACGTGACGGGGTCAGTCATGATTGTTTGATAGCTCGTCAATAGTTGTCACGCTGCAAAGATCCCGTTAGTGCTCCCATTCAGTTTATGAACTCCACACGGAAGTCCTTGTGCTAGATGTTAGTTCAAGCAGCTAGGTGGTGCACGTGCGAATAATTTTCCAGCAGTGTGGAGTAGAGGAATTAATCAAATATTATCTCCGTGCTGTTGGTTAAATTTCCAATTAATTTGCTGAATAATGATGACGCGCACGAAAAATTATCCAGCGGCGGAGAGTAGAGAAATTAAGCAAACACTGCCTTTTTACTTTCAGACTTTTTAGCCGAATACCGACGAAGTAGTTTAAGGACCGAGTAGCGTATCGTTAGCTCTAAATCATTTAAAACAAACTGGTCAGTAATCTCAGTATATAGGCCCGGCGGGCGTTACGTTTCCGTTGTTTGATTCAGAGTTTCATCTTGTAGTTAAGTCGGTGGTGGATAGCCCGACATTTGGCGCTACATTGTCTTTGTCAGCGGTATGTATCGGTAGTCTAGTAATTGACGGCAACCTGGGTGTTGGTGGATCCATGCTTTGTTATTGCCGTTAAGGAGGCGGAAAGTGTTTATTGCTAGTTTGTCGTGTTTGACTCAGATATTTTAGAGGGACTGGGTGTTGTTATTCTCCACCGCATCATGACCGGCATCTTTTAGGCGATACTCTGTGCCGATTCGCGCACCGACATCTTCAAAGATGAGCAGCTTGTCCGTGTTCTACATAGCTAGGAGTTGAGGGTACAGTTATTTGTAGATTTTATTGTAGCTAGCACACGAGATGGAGAAGACGAACAAATATGGATGCAAGAGTCAGAACGAGAATACCCTATAAAAGGGCTTTATTCATCTTACAATTGCAAAATGGATCGATTCCTTGGGCTAGAACGATTCGATGCTGATCCAAATGCTCA